ACACCGCCTGACCTTGCTTTGTCACTGCAAAACGTTTTGCTTCCGCCAACAATGCTCCCTCTCGAAATAAGGCAAACGAGATTTCATAAGACATAATGACAGCTTAACGTCCATGAAGAGCTTTCTTACTGCATTTATTAAGTCTAGGTATTAAGCTTATCTTCTCTACCAGAAGATCGTTTTCACACAGCACTGGTAGCGTATATCCTTTGTCAACTTCTATGATGGCTGTATGTGAAGGTGAATACTTCGTTAAAAGGTATTCCCGATGAGTCTTTTCTTCCGCTTTTCACGGATCAGCGACTTTCAGCAGACGGAGGCCGCCGAAGAATTTAACATCGCCATAGATGATCTCGATTTATTATTCAGATATTATTGTTACCTACGGAGCCTTTTTGGCATTCGTCATTCAAGCATCATTAATGGATCGTTTCTGCATTCATGGCGTATCTTCAAAGTTACTGTACGTTTCAGGAAAAGGCTGTAAACCCATTCCCTGCATTTCTCGCATTTAAAGCAGTTCCTATTTCATTCGTTAGTTGCTCTTTATGACGGGGATAACAAGGTTAACTAGTTGCTTTGTGATTTCAGCGCCATTAGAATCGGTTCAGCTTCTAGCATTTCAGCGAAGCTCTTCTAGAGTGAACCTTCAACCGTAGCATTCCGCTTGACTCTCTTTAAAACCTATTCGAATGCATCAGTGCTGTAGCCTACCACTGACAAATCTGTTATTGCGCATAATAAAGTGCATATGAGTGTGGAAAACCCGTTCGATCAAAAACTGTTTTCAATATGTTTCTTCCTCGCATTGAAAATATCGGCTATAAAAGATAGTCTTCTCATTTAGACTTGGTCATGCTCTGATTGCTCTGTGGTTAACAAGATCTCCAAAGAGGCGACTGTCCAATCAGCAGGTTCAAGATTTGGGCCATTACATCCTAAAGGCCCACATCTACAAGTTCGTTTTGACAAATTCAGAAGCCAACATAAGTATCGTGAAGGATTGTCAGTTGTTTTGGGTGCAGCACAATGCCGAGAATATGACATCAGCACTTTGTACTGATCGAAACATCTTTTATCCGAACACGAAAGTATAGTTTTTGTTCAATTTTTTCATTAAATAGTACTAAGTAATTAATTAGGTCTCTCGATTGCTTCTGTTGGCCGGATGTAGTCCAAACGCGAGAACGTCCTATTACAACAATGCGCCGCTGTTGTCGGTCGCCGCACGCCATGGTTTGCATGATTTCTCCACGTTGTTGCTAGATTTCGGAGCAGACGTGCATCAGGTGGACGATTGTCGTTCGACCCCCCTGATACACGCCTCTATCGGTGGTCATTTGGATTTGGTGCAGTTTTTTCATCTGCACGGAGCAGAGGTACTTATTTTTCGACGAATAGTTTGCCTAGTTTCGATCACCCCTTCTTCACGACATCTTTATTGTAGGTTGACAGTGTAGATCTGAACTGGAAATGTGCCCTGGTGTATGCCGCCGAACACGGCCACGTGAAGATCGTCAGCTTCTTGTTGCAGTGCGATTGGACTCACTGCAAAGACCGTGGAGACGAACGGTCCGGTCGCCTTTCTCGTCAGCAATACATTCAGCAGGCGTTTGTAGTCGCGGCAGCCGCTGGTCACGGTCAGGTAAGTCGAAAGTCGAGCCGCGCCTCTGAACTGCTGTCTTCCAGAACATCCTTCACTTAATAAGCTTTGCTTATTTTTCTTAGGTGTGCAAATTTCTGTTGGAGTTCTGCGACGTTCGAATCGACGATCCCGACCCCGTCACCGGAGAGACAGGTTTATATTGTTGTTAAGCAAGGGCGCGCAACTTTTCTCAAGCCTCAGAGATCTTATTTTAGTAACCTCAACCCTGGGATTCGAACAGAAGCTAATTCACTAAAGTTGCTTAAGATGATGTACTGGCCTTTGCGGTTGTTTATTTTCCAACGTACAGTAGCAAAGTAACTCTAAAAATCAGATTCGAATTACGTGAAGCCTGGTTTAAAATTCAAAATTTTTGACAGATCTGACTTAGTCGACTAAAAGTTTAAAATGATCTATAAATGATGGATTTTATCATTAGCCGTTGTCCTTTTACTGCTAAAAGAAGGTTTGTCCAAGACTTTATTTCTGAGATTCTTAATGATGTTCAGTTCTCGATCGATGGTTCAAGGCAACAGTTTAGCAGTACGGTTCCACCCTGACGATAACACATGTGTGCGACGCTGAGATGCGTCTTCGGTGAGTAAAGAAATTTACCTCTTCCTTTTAAATTGTTGCCTTGAATTATGAATCGAGAACCGATAATCATTAACTGTTATCGAAGCAGGCAAAGAATCGGTGCCTTCTTCTAGTGCTATCTGATACTTATAGAACGGAGCCTACCTAGTCTTACATTTTAATCCAACGAATCTTTTCAACTAGTCCTACTCCCTCTTCGGGGGAATTCTCACCGGTCGTTCACCTTCTCTTGGAATCTGATCTAATGCTTTTCTGGTGCAGCGATGTTGGGTACCTCTTGATACCTCTCCTATCCATTATCATTTAAACTTCTTCACTCGGGCAGTGGCGTCACAGACTCCTGTTTTTTATTTTGCCCATTCGTTTGATTTCCTGTTGTTTTTTGTTGTTCCCAACATAATTTTTTAAATTCTAAGTCTGCAGTTTTGAATGGTTTTCAATCTTAGGGTCTACGTTCATCATCCACTGGTTAACACTGATCGAAAACTTCGTATTGAGTACAAGAGCTGTTTCCGCATAGGGACACTTTCAGTATTCCATAAGTGCTCCGTTTCATTTTGCGCTTCTGTCGATTTTTTAGATTCGGTTTTCTGATCATTGATGAGTTATCCTTGATGGATGTAGTTTTTTACCCTTTCGAGCCTAAATCTGCGCTGTCGTGTATTTGTTGAGTATGGCCCGAGTCTTCTTTAGATTCAGGTTCAGTCGTGCTTTGATGCCGGAGTCGTTCCATTCTTCGATTCTTCTGGTAATTTTTTCTCGAAACCTTACGAGGATCGGAATATTGTCTGCAAATCGTCGTTGGCTTAATTCTTGCCTGTTTTTGCTCTTTTTTTCTAAAAATGTGATATTAATCCGAATTCGAGAATTATTTTTAAAGGGGAACAAAGTTTTATTTCTTAGGTAGGTAAAAATCGTTATCGCTGTTGCAGATTATGGAAACTTACTATTTACAGTCTGCTGGTGTGCTAACGCTGTAAAGCCATCCAGTGAATATTTGAAAAATTTGGGGCATTCATTTTTTCTGCTAAGGATTTCACCATTCATCTATGTATCGGCCTGTTATGGGATGTTTTGCCGCTCGCTCTTGTAAGATTTATTCGAACACTTCCTTTGATTTGTCTGTTCTGCACAGTTGGAAATTGTTGATGGGTGCTGTTGTCCCTTCCGTCTGGAATAGCTCCCAATTTTCGCGCCATCTTTCATTATTGTGCAAAGGAATGAGTCAGGAATGCCACATTTTGCGGTCAGCAGAACCACTTAATCTTGATGTCTTGTCTACTTCCGGCAACAATGATATTTTCAACGACAGTCAGAAATTTGTATGTACTACGTTCTGCTATGTTCTGCAATATTTTTGGACAGAGTCAAAATTATTTTACGCGAAAAGATATAAACACCATTTAAAACCAACAGTAAACAATGCACGTGAAACAACAGATGATTCTCAGAATACATCTCAGGGATGCGTTCATCGAGCTGCTGTCCAATGTTTCATCAGCTTAGGCCCAAATCAACATTCGTTATCTACGATCGGAGTGCCTCCATGCATAAGCTAGCATGTTAATAACGTCTGATGCCC